ATTCCATTTCAGTTATTTCCCCGATAGATAAATTGTACATAAATATATTAAATGTACACTATCTTGTTTTGAGTTTTCTCTTATATAAATATATATATATTATATGTAATATATCTACTTCATAAAACACGGGCAAATAAGATTTAATACTAAATATTTCTTGGAGTTAAACGAGAAAATACTGCTTTAAAAAAGGCTCCATGTGCTGAAGAAGTTTAGGAATCGTTGTTTTAATGTTATATTTTTTTGTTCGTATTGTTTTTAATCAAACGATTTAAGAAACTCTACGGAACTCGTTACGACTCTCGAACAATTACAAAATAAAATTTTGCAGTGCATTTTCAAGCAGCTGTGTGACTTCACGTATTAACTTATATTAATATATTATAACGCGTTTACGTTATGAGAGGTGCAAAACAGTTATGAAATTCTACTGAAAAACATGTTCACGCGCCTATTTCCGACAATAAGCGTTCTGGTTAACAATGTGCCGTGGAAATTAAATTACATTTCCTTTGAACAGATATTGTATAAGCTCAAAAGCTCGAACTAATCGTTAAGTTTTTTTCGATAAACTTTTACACAAATTCGTTCCTTTCAAGGTATTATCAATTCTAGATATTGGAAAGACGAGATACAATCCGTAATTTAAGCGCAAAAATATGCAGTTCACAATCATTAAGAGCATACCATATTATCTATAATATTGAACAGTGGCGCCCTATTGCTAGATGAAACGGCTTCTACACAAAGGAAATAAGAGGGGAGTGGGTACTATAACATGTAAGTTAAAATAATAAACTTGGTACATATTAATTATTATTATTGTTAAAACTGATAATGCTAGTATAACGCTAGTATCGTATTATTTCATATTATTTCTGTGCTATTATTTTTAAACTATAATATTAAAAAAAAATGAAGAAAAAACTTTTAATTTTTAATTTTCCATATTTTATTATATTCTTAATTATAATAATATTTTGTACCATTTAAAAATTATGTCTTTAGTGCCTCCGATGGTGGATCTGATTTTGTTGTGTTTTAAAGAAGAGAACATTAACTATGATGTAGTGTCAAATCAAAGCCAAAATGGATTCAAAATAATTTTCATACACTTGAAATTCTACAAATTTTAAGTATTTTCGTTTATTTATGAAAAACGATTGAAATAAGTTATTGAAAATATAAAACGCTACTTCATGCAAATATAGATAACGCAAAGCCTCCTTTTATGGATTAACACCGAGTAGTTCGGTCTCGCGCAATTATTATTATTATTATTATAGGTTTACTGCCTTAAAAGCGTAAAGAAATTATTATTAATTCATTTATAAGTTCACGGACATGATATCACAATCATGCGTCAAGCACTCCGATGCATATATATGCCCATATCGTACAACCCATAATATCGTTGGTTTTTGGAGCTTTACATTTGCGGTACACTTTTGAGTATTACGTTTGGATTACTTTTAGGAAGACAACCCATACCCGCATGCCTTATCTTAGCCGTAAAGATATGTACAACATTAAAAATTTGTTATTCAGCAGTTCAAATGTTGTGATGTTAGTTTTGATATTATTTTAAACTGATCTATATCAGACACAAAGGGAATCATTTTATCTGTGTCTTTTTGCATGCTTTTTATAATATTTTAATTTTTAAGCTAGTTATGATTATGTATAATATTATAATTCAAAAGAACTCAAAACTCTAATGAAAATTAAAATATCGTTTAAAACCGACTAACAAAATACAAATAATTTTCTTTCCTTTAAGTTTGGAAGCACTTCAGTTTACTCTAAATATTAAAACTTACAACATAAAATTAATTGTACTTATATTGCTCATTCGTTATATTGTACGTTTGTAAGACTGAGACAACTCTAGATATTGGGTACTCCAAGTTTTCGAGCTCATTTTGACGGAACAATAATGCTTTTCGTTTTTTTTTTTTTATCATTACAGCGTTAAACTTTGAAACATTTTCTGGTTTTCTTCATTTCATACTACATTATTATGTCTACATTGATTACATTTTAAAATAGATAATGTTTTTACATTTTTAAAAGCCTTAAATGACAAATGCGGTTTTCTTACACGTTTATTTTACTGTAAATATTAGTAATTTGTAATTAATTCGCGTCAATGAAGTCATAGTGTTGTAATGGTATTAATAGGCGCTGGTATTTACCATAAATGGCGAGTATGGTAAAATATTTATTTGTAGATGTTAGAGAATTTGTGCATAATTTGATTGAATAATGCACTCGGTTCTTGTTGAATTTTTAATCGTTGTTTCAAAAGTGTACATAAATGTACAGATACGGGTATAAATTGCCAAAATATATTTGAAAATAATGCATAGCATGTTATTAATATTAAATATTAATTTTTTTTTAACTATTCCATAATGACGGGAGTAAAAGTACTTTTATATGATTAACAATGTTAATTATGGTTATATTATAAATGTATTCATCAAAAACATTCGATTTTAATAAAAAAAATGTTATGCCATCCGACTTATACATTGCATTTTTTCGAATGCTATTGCAGTATTGTTATCATAATAATTGTTCAAAGCCATTAAACAATTTCTTTTAATACTCGCATGTATTTACGAGAAGAATGAGAATTTTATAATTTTTGTCTGATGTGAAATAAGTGAATAAACGAATTTTTTTTGTGCTATTTCAAATTATGAGCAATTGGATAAAATTGGACGTATTAAATTTTGACTCACAACGTGTTTGAATATGGTTGGAATCTTTTCAAAGTAATTTCGTATTGTATCTGTTCGAGAGAATCAAAAAATTAAAACTTTCAAATTTACGATTAAATTATTATTTGTTTTATTTTGGTAATTTTAAAAGGGTTTTTGTAGCTTATTATATGTATTACAATTGAAGTATAGAATTTCTAAAAAATCACCAAGATTTAGAATTAATTTATGTTTCTTCAATAAATGTCAATATATATTCTTATTGTCATTTAAAATTTGAAAAATTATATACATTGTATTTATATTTTTAATAAATTGAGTATTTTTGAGAAAATAGATTTTCGAATTCCATGATTTATTATTTCTTTCAAATTTATAATTACGTTAAAGGTACGTTGTTTTATGTCAAATCAGCTGAAATGAGATGAATTATCAAAATTTAATCTTCGCGTCTTGTCAGTTTTTTTATACATTATTTTTCATAAATTGCTTTACTAATTTTTTAGTCATAATATGTCTGGAATATTGTTTGTTCAAATTTATATTTTCTACAAAATGAATCATTTAAATTGTTTATCGTAGTCCAACACCAAGAAGTTTCGCTCTTATCATTTAGTACAGATACTCGTATAGTTTATTATAGAATTTAATTTTAAATTTGATGTTTGTATATCATTTTAAAATGTATTCCGTAGAAAGGTACCTGCTATAATTGAAGCATCTGAAAAATAGTAATTGAGATTATATTCAGTGTTAGATTACCCATTAGGCTTAGTAGGCACCCGTCTTAGGGCCTCACTCAATTTAAGGGGCCCTGTAAAAACTGAAAATTATAGTTTTTTTTATTTAATAATACCTGTAATTTATTTATGAATTTACAGGACAAAAGTCATTATGAAGTATAATATATATTAACTTGTAGGTGTTATATGCAGTAATAATATTAACATTTTTTTGAAAAAAAATAGATATAATATAATCATTAATTATTTTTCATTGCAAATAAAAAAAATGAATAAGCATGATTTTATTTATTAATAATATTTAGTTATTATTAAAACTGTCTATCTTAATTATTGGATAATAATGTTAAAGATGTAAGTAAAAAATAATTATGCCCTAAATTTTAATTACCTAGGGGCCCACAAATGTTTAATCCGGGACTGATTATATTTATCAATATTTTTAACGCGCAGTGTTACAAATTTAACATTATATAGTGTGATAATTCTTAAAACGAAATATATTAGATTTGTTTCATTGTATTATTATAATTGCGGCGAAGATTTCAATGGCAGGTATTTCATAAATATTCCGTGTATACTTTCCAGAATTGGGGAGCTGTTAATTAAGTCATACAATGATATGAATTTTTATGGGATCTATATTGTTTGGTACATGATGCTTATATAAAACCACGAAAGTTGTATTAAAACGATTATATAAATATATATTTATTGTACATCAGTGTTTACGGTGGTAGATCCCCATTTAAAACGATTTCGTTCTTGTTTAAAGTTTGATTCCGATTCCGTCAGCTCGCATTATACGATATATTTTGGTTATATTTAACGGAACGTATGGGCTATTGTTGTGTTCAGCGATAGTTCTCAGGACACTTATCCTTATTCCCAAACTCGTTGCAAACACCATTGAATAATTTTATCTATAAGTTTGACTTAGTCATTATTGTTGTTGGTAGTGACTTTGTTTATTTATTTTTTTGGTGGGATTTTATGTGCGGTATCTCCGTCATTGAAATGTGTGATATTTCTCTAATCGGTCATCTTGTCGACCGTCCACAGTCGTACAAAAATACACACACAAGCACACACAAGCACACACCCACACACACACACAAATACACACACTGAGTATCCGTTGATACGTGAAACCAGTTCATGGCCAACGGCGCTTGCGAGCCTGTGCACGGCGTTTAATCGCACGGCAAGCCCACGGTCCTAGGGCGACGATCGGCGGGCGGCGTTGTGATGAGAATAGATAAGGACGGGAAAAAAACCAATTCCTAAAACGCTGATGATTCCTTGAAAAGCAGATGCGAAATGAACGAATCCGTCAACGGGTTTTTTCCCCGATAAAATCCGTGATAACGAATGACTCGCGGTGGTGTTGTTTGACTATTTATACGTCGCTGACGACACGACCGGATTCATTACCGTCTCGTCTCCTCATTCGAGCGGAACACTTAGACGAACGCGCCGGGACCGCGTTGCTGACCACTGTGCCGAGACTTCGAAAAACGGATCCGATATGCGTATCCTGCCGGTGCTGTTATCGGTCGTCTACCTGCTGACGACCATCCAAGATGGGTCTTCGAGCCGCGGCGACCAGGTGGATGTCTCGCCGGGCTCCGGAGCCGCCGGTCGGATTGAGTACACTGACGAGTCGCTGGATGACGCCGCGGACGACGAAATCGATCCAAGGTGAGTTCTTGACGATAATATGCGCATCCAGGACAGTTTGATGGGGTGGCACGTCCATGGGCGCAACTAGAGTCAAAATATTGGGGGTGTTGAAATCGCTGAAAATAAAATTAAATTGTATTTAACTGTGATTACTATAGATTATATAAATCTGAAAAAAAAATAGTAGTGCTACATTTGAACTCAGGGGTGTTAAAAACCCTATTGCGTCCTCCTAGTTGCGCCTATGGGCACATTTCGAATCGGTTTTGGGTGTGCTCAGTGGTATGAACGCGTTATAGCCACCGTCGACCCAGCTATCGAAATCGAAAATCGAAAATCTAACCCATTAGAACTCGAAGCGCGGTGATGGTGAACCTAAACAATCGATTTTACGGGAAGCAACTCCGGAACGGTGGCGCACCTAGGATTTCGTTTATTGGAGGGCCCGATGTTTTTTTTTTTGGAAAAAACATACAATGTATATTATATAATAATCGGAAATAATACACGACTTATAAAAGTCATAATTAATTATAATTAATTACTTAAGTCATAATTCTACGTTACGGATAAGATCATTTGATTTGGTTGAAGGTATTACATCACTCAGTCGGTTTATTACTTAATATTCATATTGACAATATTGATAATCTAAAAACTTTATGAACGATTTACCAAAATAGTTTTATTAAATTGTGTTGTTTTTAATTTTTACATTGCTACTTGCAACTATTACAAAACCACCGAGGTCCTAGGCCAAAAGTGGGGGCTAGAACTCTCTGACCCCCCTTAAGTCCACCATTGCTCCGGAACATAAAAAACAAATTGGTTACTTTTCCGTTTCTAAAAAGCTTTTAGAAGATAAACGGTTAACTTGTTGAGAACGAATAGCATCACTGTTATCGATCCATACGTATTATTCGTTTTTAGTTTTGATGTAAATGGTTATATCATAGATTATCAACCTTTTTTGACTCGTGGAAATCTAAAGTGTTAAAATGCAGAGGCTCCCATAGTAGTATATTGTATATTTAATAAATATTATTTATGTTAATGTCTTATAACATCAATTTTTTTAGCCACGTTTAATTAAACACACATAAAATTATATTTTATAAAATACAAAAATATTTATTTTTACATTTATTATATACTAGCTGAATGATTTGGTTTTACCCGTGAAAAGAAATGATTATCTTTGTATTAGATTACTATAGGCAAATGAAACAAAATTATATCAGTGTTTTCCTTCTCATTTCAATCCAAGTTTGGTTTCTTTTTCTGGCATAGTTAAAAATTGTTTAGCATTTTAGTTTTTTATTTAGCTGTCCAGCGGTTAAGCGATCTAATCGACAGTTTTAACATAAAACCCAGGTGAATGTGTTTTTTTCCTTGCTGGGCCATGAGGTATTGAATAATAAACAATTATAAATAAATAATTACTCAATTATCATACAGAATTGAAATTAAGCTTAAAACTTGCTCCGCGATGTATTTCTTCATTTAAAAAAGTCAAGATTATCGGATGAGTAGTTTCAAAGAACATGCGTGATAAAGATCCCACTCACATACATTTTTTTTTATGAAAATAGAAAATTACTGAAAATATTTAATATTTTTAACATTAAATATATATCAATAAACAGGTAAATTATGGCACTAATATTGTGTTACCACATTAATAAGTATTATGTACACGTGGAATTTGAAATAAATCTTGCTATTTATATTAACCGGGGTAATTTTTACTGAAATTAGAATTGGATCGCTCTACCTTCTTTTTGTTTTTGTATAAAAAAAAAATAATGTTTTTCCCGATATTAAAACAAGAGGCTTCGACCGGCGTTATAAGCACACGACTGCTGACAATAATTATACACGCATTACTCGTTTTGTGTACATAGCACAGTCGGCTTTGAGGGGCGTTTGTCGGATTAAAAATGTTAATTCCTGCAACAACATTGTTAACGTGAACAACGTGTACAGGTAGATTATTGATACTGTTGGTCGGAACAAAATAAGGACGTCAACAAGTTTTATTTCATAATATAGTTGTGTCAAAGAATCGAAGACTACATAAATACGTCGACTCTTCGGTACATGCGCTTTATTTATTTAATTTTATCATAATGTTCGGAAACACCCTCAGTATTTACATTTGGTTGATAATTCATATTGAAGAGTTCGATTGAAGTTTTGAAATATTTACCATACATATTTAAGTACCAACCGTTATTTAGAAAGTTTACATAATTGAAAATTATTCATATCAAATAAACCAATATTATTTTTGTATTTCATCAAATTTAATGAAATGACAATTAATGTAGTTGTTTGATATAATATGATGAATATCTTCATAGGTCTTTAAAAATGTGTTGTAATGATGAATTGAGTCTATCAATTGTTAGATAAATAAAAAATATCCGAATTAAAATTTTTGACAAAGGTTTAGAAGATAAATAATTTGGGGCCACTTAATTATTTGATTATATTTTTAATTTTGTCGTTGGTAGCAAAACAAATATATTTAATAAGTGTATAAGTATATACTTAATGCTTAAGTATATACTTAGACAACTATTATTATATATGTATGAATATGTATAAGATATGATATTGTATATTATATAAGTATTAAATTATTTAAATTATCTTTTGAATAATAAAAAATTATTTAGAAAGAAATTATTTCATTTTTAGTTGAATATTTTATAACTATTAATTTTTATTCTAGTTTATTTGTCAATGACGATCCGAAAAAAGATAGCGATTTTCAATCAAGGTAAGTCTAATTTTAATTAATTACTTAATGATCTTAGCATATTGTAAATTTGAGTATTTAATGTTATTAAGATTCTCGAGTTATGGAACTAAATCGTCAAAAATTATATTTCCGAAAACACAAGGTTAGTATTTACATAGCAATAAAATTGTTAGTATTAACTGAGTGTATAATTTACACATTGAATTACTTTTTAGAAAGTAAAAGCATATTGAGCTTATATATTGTTAGGTCTTTGAATGTTCAATTTAATTTTATATTTTAACATGAGTATTTTATGCTGTTTTTTAAACAAAATATTTCCATTTGATTTGATAAGTATATATAGTTGTGCACTAAAAAGGGTTTCAACTACTTTAAATTAAAACATTATTTTTATAAGTAGAATATTATATTTACTTTTAAAAAATATAGTGCATATAATAATAAATTGTAATGAAATTATGTTTTGTTAATACTCATTCCAAAGGATCATGAAAGAAACGTGTTATGATGACCAAGATCGCGCATTTAAAAAAATGATTACGTAATTAAATTGATTAAGGGAATAAGAATATCCATGCAGTTTTACGACATCTAATATAATAATGTACCGAATCGTGTTAAAAACGTATTTTTTTTGCCATCGTTCAGATGTTTCCGCGCACTTTTCACATTTTCTCATCATCATCATACATCGATAGTATTTTCAATACATAAACGTAGCGATATAAGTAACTTTGCCGTTAATTTTTAATTTTAATTATGCAGAAAATGTTCAAGCATGTACCGCGAACTTTACGCCTCTCGAAAACTCTATTACAGTGTGCTCGAAAATAACCAAGTAAGTTACGAACACAATACACCGCGAACTACGTATAAGTTGTACCTAATAATCGTTTATGAATTGTCTTTTAGCAATTGCCAGGTCACGTGCGTAGAAGGCTACAAATTTTCCCGACCCATTACTAAACTCATGTTCGTATGTGACGGTGCCAGATATAAAATCAGAAATTCAATTTCCAACGCCACTCCTTTGTGCTTGCGTAAGTCGAAATTTCGGGTTACAAACTAGCCGTGAAAATATGTACTGCTTTCAAACCAATTAAAGAATACTTGTGTTTCTAGACGTGAGGGGAGGGGATCCAGTTGAAATTTAGATACTGCATTGGGGTAATAAAGTGATGATGCAGTGATAAGAATTATATTTTTATTAGATTATCATGTTTACAAACATATCTATAATTAAAAACAACAAGTACTTTTGTAGGAAATAGATATCGTTTAATAATCATACTGTGCATTTTAAATTTTAAAATTAATTTAAAAGTGTATTAATATTACAAATAAAAAGAACAAATTATTATTAAACTAAGGTTAGTAACCTAACCCAACTAAGTGTAGGTACCATTATTGAATTTATATTTTTGTAACTCGTATTACACGACGTTTATCTCCTTTTATTGTTATTATTATTTGTGATGATCACTGAGAAAAAGGTAATCAATTTATTTTTAATTGATGGGTAGTGGAAGATGTGATATTTTCGAAAATCAACACGAAGAGGCTTGGGACGAAAACGATTAGGAAAAACTGCATTTAGTGTAGCGTGCGTTTACGTAATATTAAACCGTTATTTTCTCGTGCAGCTATCTGCAATCCGGTTTGTGAAAACGGCGGTACGTGTGAAAAGCCGAACAAGTGCAACTGCCCGAAAAACTACGAAGGACCGACCTGCCGCAACATGGTCGCACGAAAATTTTGTCACGGGTTTCCTAACACTCCCATGAACTCGAAAAAGAAGTGCAACTCGGAGTAAGCGGCGAAACGCTGTTACTTGTTTTATCCGTCTATTTTTCCCGTCTATCTATCTTATTATATTATTGTATTATTCTTCTATCTATCTATTTTCACCCGGTTTTGGAGAGTTTTGAACACTATCGAAAACCATCATTTGCAGATCGTGCACGATCAATTGCGTCGAAGGATACCAGTTCCCGGACTCGTCCAACGTGGCCAACGTGTTCTGTAGGAACGGCATTTGGACGCCGGGAAAAGCCGAATGGCTAACCGTTCCGGACTGCGTTCCCGTGTGCAACCCGCCTTGTTCAAACGGTGGTAACTGTATCGGTTACCAGAAGTGTCAGTGTCCGATCGACTTCAGGGGCCCCAGATGTCAATACCGTGAGTTGTTTACACTGTTGTAGTATTTTACTTATCTAATATTTTTTACGTTAATTGAACCCGATGCATTTCAAATCAATATATTAACTACACTCTCCGTAAATACACATACAATTTATATTTATTCGCAGTGGAAAGTTCTTGTGATGTATCAAAATTGAACTTCAACGGAAATTATAAATGTTCCGATGACTCGGAAAAAAACACATGTACCCTATCATGTCCTCAAGGATCCGTTTTAGAACCGTTTAAAATAGCTGAAGTCGATTACACTTGCTTGTTTGAAACCGGAGAGTATGAACCAAAACATATACCTCAGTGTGTATTTGGTGAGTAATGCATATAACAATTTGAGCGTTGTATATTGTATGTATGTATATACTATTAAACTATTTTATTTATTTTCGTAGAAGACAAACCTTCTAATTTAATAAACGTCATCACCACAGTAGTTGAAGTTTATAATATATTTAAAAGCCGTCCTGAGAGTTGTATTCGTTGGGGTTTTGGAAACTATAAAACGTTCGACGGAAAGATATATAGTTTCAAAAGTGATTGCACTTATACGCTAATCAGTGACATTAAGACAAATTCTTTTCATGTTCAAGCGCGTTTCGATCGTGGAATTATCTCTAATATCAATATTTATATCGTTGATAATTTGTATCAAATAAAAAGAAACGGTAAGATCTTAAAAACAATCGAATTGAGGTGTCGATACACAATACAGTTTTATTTCAGTCGACGACAATGCCGTATCACTGATAAATAATAACAAAGTACTTCCCGTGCCCAACGAGTTAGCCGATATCGGTGTTGAAATCATTAGCGGTCAAACAGTGCTTATTAATCTACGCACAGCAAACTTGAAAATTATCTGGAAATCCAACGTAAGTTTATGGTTAAATATTAAATATATAAATAGTAATTTTACAATTATTTTATAATAAATTACGATTTTAGGGTGTCTTGCGAATAGATGCTGGTGTAGAGTTATGGAACTCGACTGATGGTCTCTGCGGGAGAATGGATGGTTTGCCAGAAAATGACTTGATGCATAGTAGTATCACGAGTTTTGCCAACAAATGGCTAGAGAGGGGACTCAACGAAATATGTGAAACACCTACCACAGACATTATAAACGTTTCCAAAGAGATAACCGAAGAAGCTATTAAATTCTGCTCCGTTGTTAAAAGTGATAGATTCAAAGTTTGCAGAACAAAAGACCTTAATACCCAAGCTTACATCGAAGCATGCAAAATGGATTATATCCAATGTGTTACGGTTAATGGATCCGACTGTGGGTGTAATAGTATTGCTGCCTATGCTGAAGAATGTTTTGGAAAAGAAGAGAAGGCTTCGTGGAGAGATTACAATCTATGTCGTTAGTAATCATTGGTCGAAACAATCCTTTATTTATATATTATGTTTTATTAATTATTATTCATCTGGCCATTTACTGTTGTATTTAGCTTATCAATGTCCTGCTGGAAAAGTGTATTCGCAGTGTTTGCCAGTCGTACAAGAAACGTGTACAATTGCGGCCGAGTTAAAATCCAAAAATACATACTGTGAAGAAGGTTGCGTTTGTCCGTTTGGAACGGTTTTGAACGATGGTGTATGTATTGCAAAAGAAAAGTGTCCATGTAAAATGAGAAATACATATTATCAACCTGGGGATGAAATCACCAAAGACTGTAACAAATGGTAAATTTTGAATGATGCATAATATTATCTTCTGCAATCGTTTTAATTGCATTCGTTTTAAGTACTTGCGTCGGAGGAGAATGGAGCTGTACAGTTGCCAAATGCCGAGCCGAATGCTATGCAATCGGAGATCCACATTACAAAACATTTGACGGCATGAAATTCAATTTCATGGGATCCTGTTCGTATTATCTCGTGGTCTTACCTGAATTTTCAATCGAATCGGAGAATATTCCATGTGATGGTACGTTGTCATCCGAATACGGGTTTGAAGTGCCAAGCTCACCGGGAAAAGCTACTTGCACTAAGACGGTCACAATACGTTTTGGCAATGGGACAATTATTAAATTGGGACAAGGAAAAACCATATTAGTCAATGGAGAAGTCGTTGAGAAATTACCGATCAATGTAAACGGAGTAGCTTATATCCGAGAACATTCTTCATTTTTCTTACAAATTGTAATAACCAACGGAATCGAAATATTGTGGGACGGAGAAACTCGTGTATATATTTACGCTAGCCCAGAACTGGAAGGAATAACTACGGTACACTTTTATAGGAAATTAAAAATGCGTTATTCTGTATAAACATGTTGATATAGAGCTTACAATTTGAACAAGGTATATAATAGCAGTTTAATAGCTATCCATTGTTTTAATTTTAGGGTTTATGTGGGACGTATAACCATAATCAGAAAGATGATATGTTTACCCCAGAAGGAGACGTAGAGACAAACGTTGTTTCTTTTGCAAACAAATGGAAGACAAAAGAAAGCTGTGCTAATAAAAAATTGGAAACTGTAATAAAAACATCTCATCCTTGCGATGTGAATATAGAATATAAACATTTGGCTGAGAATTATTGTAGCAATATAACCGGGAAATTGTTCTCGGATTGCCACGCTCAAGTAGACCCAACTCCTTATTATGACGATTGTCTCTATGACGTTTGCTCCTGTCGTCCCGGTCAATTTTCTCACTGTTATTGTCAGATTTTAGCGTCTTACGCTCTCGAGTGCACTCATCAAAATACGGTCGTGGACTGGAGAAAAGGAGTAAGAGAATGTGGTACGTAATGCGTATATCCCACTGGAGTACCGAGTATAAAATATTAAATATTATTATAATATTTGTATACCTACCCTAGGTGTACAGTGTCCGGCAAGTCAGCACTACGAAGTCTGTGGAAATTCTTGCCAGAGGACGTGTTACGACATTGCGACCATAAACACTTGCAAATCTAATTGCGTCGAAGGTTGTTATTGTCCCAAAGGATTAACTTTGTCTGAGTCTGGTGAATGCATTCCTGTTTCCGAATGCTCGTGTTACTATAACGGTCATAAGTATAAGTCCGGTCAAAAAAGAGTTGAAACTACTGATAAGGAACCACAGATTTGCACTTGTAAAAGTGCGACCTGGGAATGTCATTCAACTGAAAAAACCGAATTAGCACAGTGGAAAGATGTGTCAGAAACTTCATGCAACCGAAAAAAACATTTAATTTTTACAGAATGCGAACCTTTTGAGCCCATTACTTGTCGGGTAAGTTTTTACGCGTTATTTTACACGTAATTCCTACAATAGTGTGGTCTCGTCTAATCGAATTATCAACGACAAAATAAAGTTAAATGATTAAAATCGTATTGAAACATTTGCGTGGAAAAAATTTGTTTGTTAATTTTGAATAAAACTTCTAAGTTCCTATATCTCATTAATATTTTAATACATTTCTATTCAGTAACCAATTAATTGATTACAATTCAACTACTTTAATTGTTTAATTTGTTAAGATTGTTAATTTACACAATTGTTAATTGTTTGATTATTTAACCTATTTTTGTTGTTATCTGTCAAATCAAAAAAAGGACAAAATCATTTTAATCAATATTAATTTAATTTAATTTTTAAAGAACATGCATGATCCTCCTCAATCAACACCTGCAGTATGTTATCCTGGATGCGTATGTAAGAAACCATATGTTCTCGATTCCTTTACCAAAGATTGTGTTTTGCCTTCTGAATGCCCATGTCACCATGGTGGTAAAAGTTATAACAACAACGAAACATTCTATCAAGGCTGCAATACATGGTATGTCAAATATTTCTGATATTTAAATATTGACTAACATTATAATACTTTTAAATTAATATTCAACAGTGAATGCAATTTGGGAAAATGGGAGTGCACCAATAACGAGTGTCCCGGAATTTGTTCAGTATGGGGAGATTCACATTTTCAAACATTCGACTCGAGGTTCTTCGATTTCCAAGGTGCCTGTGAATATGTTTTATCCAAAGGCTCATTTACAAGTTTTGAGTCATTTGTAATTTCAATAGAAGTGAGTACATATATATTTATTGTTGGGTGCGCTGTATTCAATTTATCGTAAATTTTATTTACTTGATACAACAATAGTATTAATTAGTATATTTTTGTCGAAATGTAATTTTTTATGGTAAACTGTACATATTAATTTTTACTGTAATATTTTAGATAGTACCCTGTGGTTCGACGGGGGCTACATGCATAAAAACTGTAACGTTGGTTGTTGGAAGCGGTGATGAGATTGAATCGATAGAGTTAAAAAACAAATATTATCCACCTAGTACGAGCAGGTAACTTTAAAAATCGCAATAATAGTAATAATAGATAATCACATTTAACAATAATTTGTATTTATAAATTTTAGAATATTTGTCAAAGAAGTTGGTTATATTGTGATAGTCGATGTTCCTGATTTGGAAATACAAATATATTGGGATAAAGGTACTCGAGTTAATTTACAAGTCGGTCAAAAATGGAAAAATCACGTAATATAATTAATACATTGATAAATTTTACTACTTCTTTTTCGTAAAACTTTATAATTTTTTTTTCAGATTAAAGGTTTATGTGGAAACTATAATGACAATCAAATGGACGATTTTCAGACACCTTACGGAGGAATACCTGAAGTATCTGCGCTATTGTTCGGAGATTCTTGGAAACTCCAGCCTCATTGCTCTCAACCATCTGAGCTGCGGGTGAGATTTATCCGTTAATATTATTTTTAGATAACTAACTTATACGATTTTCAACCGAAACGAATTGACTAAGAAATTTCAATGGTTTTATAATTTTTTTATATTCATAATTTCATAGTTTTATTATTTCTATTTAGGACGCCTGTGCAATACACCCACAACGTAGACAGTGGGCATTACGTCAATGTAGTATACTTAAATCATCCGTGTTCAAGCCTTGTCACTCCCAAGTGTCTATAGATAATTATATTGAACGATGCATATTTGATACTTGTGCTTGCGACCAAGGAGGTGATTGCGAATGTCTGTGTACAGCAATAGCGGCATACGCTCAAGAATGTAGCATCCATGGTGTTCATATTAAGTGGCGATCTCAAGACTTGTGTCGTTAGTATAATATTATAATGATTACAATATGAAAATAAATGAAAAATAAATGATAATTAATGAAAAACAATATGCATTTCTATGAATTAATAATTGTACTATTCTTTTTAATATATTTCATTAATTTTCGTACAGCTATTCAATGTGAAAATGGTACGTCATACGATTCTTGTATACCACGTTGTTCCCAAAACTCATGCGACGACTACACTTCACAAAAAAAAGAACTATGCAATGATAAAATTTGTATTGAAGGTAAATTTATATTAACCAGTATTAATATTAATATTCTTTCAAAAATTCATTGATGAATTCACATATTATGATTTTTATACAATTTAATGATTTAAATTTTTGAACATCTAGGGTGCGCAAAAGATCATTGTCCTTTTGGCCAAGTTTATATAAACTCTACATCTCAAATTTGTGTTCCGAAAAACAAATGTAAAATACCTTGCAAGATCGAAGGAATTGATCACTTATTCAATGATGGTGATGTTGTGATTGAAGATAATTGTCATTCTTGGTAAGTGTATATTGTGTAATTTTTTTAGTTTAATTATATTTTCGTTGAATAAATAGTAATATCGCTATAAATTTATTTTCAGTTTTTGCTCAAGAAATAAAAAAGTATGTAAAGGCCAACCTTGTACTACAACGACAACCACAACAACTACAACGATAACTACAACTTCAACAACACTAAAACCTACTTCAACCTCAACGACAACCAGTATACCAATATTGGACCAAAATAATAACAAAACTGTTGAACGATCATGTTCCGACGGTTGGAGTGCTTGGATAAATGTGAATCGACTAAATAATAAGGGACTAAAGAAATACGAATATATGCCAACGTTTGAAGATTTGATATCTGTAGAATACAATGGCGTGGAAAAATTTAATAACACGGTAAAATAACTATTATTAACTCTTTCGCGGACTGTAATTAAATGCAAATTATTATGTTGCAGGTATTAGGAATTTGCGAACATGATCAAATCGATAATATTCAATGTAGGCCATTGAAGTCAACTAAAGGCGTGAAAAATCACTCTGAAAAATTCGACTGTGATTTAAATAAAGGTCTTGTATGTAATGATAAATGTAACGATATTGAGATTCGAGTGCACTGCAAATGTAACAAAGATATAAGTAATTTTCTTTGTTTATAAAAGCAAATAGCATTTTTAGTCGTTAATATTTTTTAAATGTCTTAATTAGGTGACCAAGAAGAAAACCTTGGTCAAATTACTGACGAGGATCGAGTGATTAATAAAACACGAATAGGTAAAAGCGATAAAAGCAAATACTTTTATATACTAAAATGTTTAACTTTTTAACGCTACAACTATTTATTTTGTACTATTTTTAGTTTGTGCGGAGGGATTTAGATGGCAAGGTTGCAAAGTTATGTGCGACCAAGTATGCCATTCATTTGAAAGCCAACTTAAAACCACAAGTATGTGTGTGTACCCACAAAAATGCATTGGAGGTTGTGTTGAAGAAAATCTACAATCCACCACGTGTCCCCCTGGGTCAATGTGGAGGGACAATAATACGTGCGTGACTAAGAGTGATTGTACATGTTTTTCGAGAAATGGTACTCAAGTGAAGGTTAGTAATTAATCATACGTAATTTGCAAATATAACAAAATAAAATAAAATAGTTATAAACTTATAATAATAAAATAATTATAATATTAACTAAAAAACTATACAATATTTTAATTTTAAAGCCTGGTGGTGTTTTCAAAGAAGATTGGTGTACTGTATGCCAATGTATTAACAACGCTTATGTTTGTGATGATTCTTCTTGTCAACAAATATCGTCCACGGAATTCTTTAAAATATCGACTCCTCAACCACTGCCTTCAACCACTGAATTTGAAGAACCTACTACGCATTATAAAGAGATTATCAATGCAATTTCAACGACCAGTTCACCAAAATACACCACCAGTACACCAGAAGAGATTATATCCACAGCTAAAATGCAATCATCTACTGCAGATTATTTAAGTACTACGAAATCTTCAATTATTTTTACAACTTCTTTACCAGAGGAAACATCTACTGCTCAAAATATTGAAACCACCACCGAAGAAATTATTCTTGTGCCTTCCACATTATCTCCACCAATCATTTTTTGCGATAGTCACCAGTTAGTATTTGTCTAATAATTTTATACTGTTCATCATATAAATCCTATTTTAACATGAAAACATAAAATTATAGAATTAAACCGATAACCGGAAGTTTAAAGAAATCGTCTTTCAACGCTAGTTCTTGGTTAGACAATTATACCACACCGTATTCAGCTCAGTTATACTCGGATGGATTAAATAGTAGCTGGAAACCATCTTCGACAAATTCATACGAATATTTACAAATAGATTTGGGTTATCCGGAAACAGTTTATGGCGTAGAGCTATCTGGTAATCCTTTGACCGACGAGTATGTAACGAGTTACAAAATATTATACAGCTTGGATGGTATAAGTTTTAGTCATGTTCTATACCACGGACAACCTGAGGTAATTATCGAATATTAATGTATAAAATGTGAATGGTATTTATGAATTTTGTCATAATCATTATAGATTTTCCGTGGACCTTATACTCATGACAGAATAGAGACACAAATGTTTGTCACCCCTATCGAAGCAAGATATGTACGAATTTTACCTACAACATGGAATCAATATATTGCAGTCAGAGTTGCTCTATTAGGCTGTCCTGCTATAACTACTACACTTGGCTATGAATTCTATTCAACCATAAAACCAACAGTTCAACGTAACTAAACGTTCAATTTACTATACATATTATTTCTGCAAACAAAAATTTTAAACAGTTATATGTTTTATAAAATCTTTTAGCCATCTGTAATGATATAATGGGAATTGAATCGGGTTTAATAAATAATAACATGGTTACGGTATCATCGTCAACGTTCGAAAATTTCAATGCTCTTAATGTGTCCCTTAATAGTGAAACTGCATGGGTACCATTTACAGCTTCATCTAATCAATGGATTCAAGTAATTAAATAATCTGCATATTTCAATAATAATTGCGCTTATTCAATAATTATTTTATTATAAATATATAGGTGGATTTTACGGAGCCTAGAATTATAACCGGTGTTGTAACTAAAGGTATATCTTCGTCTAGCAAAACAGGCGAAGCATGGATTGAAGCATTCAGAGTTATGTATAGCAGCGATTTAATAAACTGGAATAAAATATTAGATTCAAATGGAGCCGAACAGGTTATAACGAACATGACATATTTTATTTTAATAAAAAAATATGCTGAGTTATTTATACTGGTTTTCAGGTATATTCAGCGAATTTTGACGGCCATAGTTCGCATACGGTATTTTTCGACACTCCAATCCGAGCGAGATACATCAGAATTCACCCGGAGAAATGGTATAATATGCCGGCATTGAGGTTAGAAATTCTCGGATGCTTTGAAGCATATGTTACTGAAGAAATGATTGTTCAGACAACAATAACGCCTCCTATCCGCCAGAAAAATTGTAGCGTTTGTCCCGGAATCACAAACATCGAATGTGACTGCTCATCTGACACTTGGTGGAACGGAGAATCTTGCGGATTGCGTTCCGAGTGTCCTTGTGTTCTTGGTATTATGACGTACCAAGTTGGTACCGTTTATGATCTAGAAAATTGTCAACAATGTACTTGCACTCTTGGAGGATTGCCCGACTGCGTTCCAAAAAATTGTGCTACGTGTCCCCCGGTAAGTAATAATGTCTATAGTTTTTTTTTCTTTTTTTTTAATCGAAATAACATATTCTATTTAATACCGTATAAATGCTTAGGGAGAAGTTTCTATCACAGTGGAATCGAGCTGTAACTGCGAATGCAAACCGTGTAAAAACGGCACAAAATTATGTCCAACTTCGAATGTGTGTCTTGATGAATCTCTCTGGTGCAACGGCGTTCAAGATTGCCCCGACGATGAGATGAACTGTTTAACAACGACAACGACAACAACTACAACTACTCCGGCTACAACTACTTCGACTACAACGGTCCCGACTACGACTGTGACAGAAGAAATTACTACTTTTGTGCCGATTTTACCACCGAAAAAAAGAGGACAAGGTCCGTGCCCTGAAATTAAATGCCCTGAGGGACAAATAGCTCGGATTTTGAATTCGTCACCGGTGAAATCGAATTCGATTAAATTTGCTCGAAAAACTAGAAGTTTAGAAGTTATCGACGATGATCCTTGGCCATCACCTTTTAATCCTATGACAACTTTAGCAGCATCGTTGAAAAGGAATCACCACGATCCACTTTTCAGTACCAAAGGATCCGTTGTTCGTCGTAAGGGTGGTATAAATTTTGCTATTAAAAGTGGAGGCGTGAAAAATGATAACCAACAGCCAATATGTAAACAATGGATTTGTGAAGCACAAGTGGAACAGTTCAAATGTAAAACACCATCAATCACATGCGACGAAGGATATTTCTTACAAATCACGCCCAATGAAAATGACATTTGTCCTGTATATACGTGCGTATCAAACACATTCGACGAAAGTGAATGTGAAATTGATGGTAGAGTATTCAAAACTTTTGACGGAGTAACGTTCAAGTACGAAGTGTGCGATCATATTGTGGTCCGTGATCGAGTGCATAAAAAATGGATGATAAAACGTAAGTACAATTAAAATACGAACATGTTTATTAAAATACATATCATTTTAAATGTACCTGTTGATTGTTTTAGAAATTCGTCGTTGTCCATACATCGGAGCTTGTCAACTATCATTATGGATGGAACATTTAAATCATACCATAGAATTTTTCCCAAACATGACAACTACTTATGATGGATATTCATATACTGTAAATCAGGTAATAACAATGAGCAATATGGGAGTAAATACAACTTTTATTAATGACACATTTATTATTTCGTTCATACATTTTTAGCTTCAAATAATTGGAAGTCAAACAACACAATTTGCAGTAAAACAAGTTCAAACTGATTACATTATATTTGCCAGCACACTAGGTTTTAATATAATTTGGCAAGTTAACGGACATGTTAAGATAAAGGTACATAAAAAAATTATAATAGAAAGTTTATTGGTCGAAATTCGTAGGTAAAAGCAATTTTTTGAGCTAATAAAATCGCGACTCTTTATTGACTTTGTCTGATAATGAAGTTGTAATTTAAAACCGGTCGTCCATTACAAATATAATAATAATCATGACTAAACATTTATTTATTTAATTAAATTAATTTAAAACGAATTAATTTTTTTTTTTTAATTTTTATTATTATATTAAATAAGTATATATTTGTTTATGTATTAAATATATTTAAATAATCATTATTAAGTACTTGCTTTAGGTTAATGCTTTTTACACCGGAAGGATTGATGGTCTTTGTGGATTTTTCGATAATAATCCCAAAAACGATAAACTTAAACGTGATGGACTTATATCGACAACTACAACTGATTTTGGAAATTCTTGGGCTGATTCTGATACACAGTGCGAAGCCAAAATATGTCCAATACATATACAAAAAGCGGCTCTTGAAGCTTGCAACGTATTTAGGTTTGTGATATTGATTTAGTGAACTATACTTCCTCGGTAAATAACTAAAAAAAAAATAAAAATAAAATTATTTTAGATCAGAACCATTAAATCAGTGCGGACAGCATGCAAATATTGAAGAGTTTGTAATGAAATGCGTGGAGAGTATTTGTTCGTGTTCTGAAAATTCTGTTAATGAATTTTTTGATTGTCGATGCAAAGCTATTTCAGGATTAGTTACCCAATGCTACGTAACAAACTCGTCTGTTGAAATTTCCGATTGGCGTATTTTACACGATTGCCGTAATTATAAACGCTCTAAAATGCATGGAAATCATGTTAACTCATTTCGATTTTTTGTTTAGCTGTAAGTTGTCCTGCACCTTTGGTGTACAAAGAGTGTTTCAATAAAGTATGTGAGCCTAGTTGTGATTCATTACTTCAAAATGACCCGTGTCCTAAATTACCTGGATTATGTTTCCCGGGATGTTATTGTCCCGATGGATATATTAAAGAACTGGGTTCTTGTATTAAACCATCAAAATGCAGAAATTGTAATTAGTACAATTTAGAACCGTTTAAACTAAATATAGAAAATTATTGATAATTTACTGACATTTAAAATTTTTTTTTTAGGTGTTTGTGAAGGATCTGGTACTAATCATTATTCAACATTTGACAAGGTTGACTTTACCCATAAGGAAAACTGCTCTCGTATCTTAGTAAAAACTACTAAAGAAAACGATTCGTTTAAGCCAGGATTTAGTGTGAGTTGAATATTTCTCAATTACATTAATAGTAAAAATTATAAATTTTAATTTGATACTTAAGATTGTTGAAACAACTGGCAAATGTTCTAACCAACTGTTTACCAATGGTTTTTGTGTTCAAAATCTTACCATTGTCCATGCTGCTCATGAATTGCGTTTATATTATAATGAAGACGGATCGAAGGTTATTTTAAATATATTATAATAATAATTTAATATTAATATTTGAAAATAAATTGTTTGATTCTTATAGATACGAGCCTCTGTCGACGGAAATCAAGTCAATAATATGCCGTTTACAAATAAATGGTTATCGATCACTGAGTCGCCCGGAAAATCTGTTACCGCTAGTATTCCGGTACTCGAACTGGAAATAATATTCATGACTATGAATCAAGGATTCTCAATAAAAATGCCATCGCATTTATATTTCGACAAGACTGAAGGTTTGTGTGGTAGCTGTAACGGTGACTCTACGGACGATATGGCAACTCCAGACGGAAACATTCCGATTAACGTAGACGAATTTGTGAAAAGTTGGAAAGCAAACGGAACTGGTTATTATTATTTATTATTCACGTAAAAATTTAAAAACAAATAATTGTATATTACATGTTATTTATTTAGATTTTGAACAGTGTGAAACCATTATTGCGGTAAAAGAAAAAGAGGAGGCATGCACTATTCCGAAACCAGATGTGGACCCTTGCCTCAAGCTTATGGACCCTAAAATATTTGGTCAATGTCACGCGATTGTTGATGTGAATCTGTATTTGAAAAAATGTCACTCGATCTTATGTCAAGGCCACGAAGGATCGTTTTGCCATTCTTTAGAAGCGTACGTCCGCGAATGTCAGTCGTTCGGCGTGTGCTTGGATTGGAGATCTCCAAATCTCTGTCCATATTCTTGTCCAAAAGGTAAAGAAAAACCTACTTGACGAAAGAAAAATACTCATGCTTGTAGCTCTTACATCCGAAAACGTTTCCAGGACTATTGTACAAAGCTTGTTCGTCTGGTTGCGAAGAGACCTGCGACAATTATAAATCGCTGAGATCCGGGGATACAACCTGTAAGAACCTGCCAACCGAAATGTGTACTTGTCCAACGGGGCAAGTGTTTAACAATAGTATATGTGTAAACGAGAACCGTTGTGAGCCTTGTGACGATGAAAACCATTTTGTCGGCGATACATGGTTTACCGATAAGTGCACTACTTGCACATGTACCGCAGGCTCAAAAGCGGTACACTGTGAGAAGAAACAATGCGTTCAGTCAACGTTTGCGATTTGTCAAACAGGATTTAAATCGGTAAAAGATGAGGACAATTCGGACGAGTGTTGCGAACAGTACAAATGCAGTGAGTGGAATTTATCCTTACCCCAGAGGTGTTTTAGGTGTTAGGTATTATTTATCGTTAACGTTTGTGCTTATGACATAATATGTTTAGTCCAAGAAGAGAAGAGATCGCAGAACTGTACGGACATCGCTATGCCAATGTGCGCGATAGATCAAGTCGTAAAAATGGAGCTGACTTCGGACGGCTGCAAGAGATTTATTTGTGGTGAGTACAGCTTGCTACGTCCCAACGGTTGTGTTGCCTAGCCCATAGGCATGCGTAAGGGGTGTGTCTATAGGGTACTTAAAGTTTTTGATTTATTTGCCAATATTTTTATGATTATTAATTAAGGTTAAAACGTACCAAAAATAGTGTACTCGTATAGTACACGGATAAACGGTGTAAAATTAGTTGAGTGTTAGTTAATAATTGTTTTTGAGTTATAATAAATAATTATAATCTTAAGTCTCAATTATCATTACAATACGAAGAGAATATTTACCTTATTGGGTTTTTAATGGGTCAAGAAACCCTTTCTAAAATTATTCTGCACACCTTTATAATGTATATATTCATGGATCGGGAATGTCCATAAAGATATAAATCATCGGCGATTATTGTGAATTATTTACTTAACACTAAATTCTAACAAATTAAAATTAACATTGAACTCTTCCGTAATCAATCGCGCGTATTTGACAACATCTGCAGTATTACAAGGTAGTGGTTATTGTGTTATTTCCATCCGCAGAATGTAAACCGAGAGACCAATGCATCGCGAAGCTACCGGATAAAGACGTGGAACTGTTACCTGGAATGATCAACGTGTTAAACAACCAGGGTTGCTGTCCTTCGTTCCAAGCTATATGTGCGCCGGAAACATGTCCCGCGTCGAAACCGTGCCCTTTGTATTACGAGAAGATCGACGTGAACAGTCAGACCTGCTGTCCCCAATTCAAGTGTGGTGAGTAAATTGTATTACGGTATTAGCTTTTCGTTTCGACAAACCGTAACAGACGAGTAAATATTCTATTTACGTGATTAGAATTGCCGAACAACACGTGTGTGTTCGAGTACGAGTGGATCGCTTCGACCGAGGGAGGTGAACGCAGGCGGACAGAGAATGAGAAAACCACGGATTTGAAACAAGTAAATGATTTCTCCGCAGTCACCCAAGTGCCGCCACCAAGTAGTATCTACAATGGTGGTAGGCTGTGTTTATTTCAGACCTATTCCGGGGGGGGGGGGTATCGTACTTTTCCAAGGAGGTATGCCTTAGAAGTAAATAATTAAGGGAAGTAAAAGTATCGTTCTAAGCTCAATTTATTGGTATTAGATAAATACCTACAAATACGTAGATTCTTAAAAATCTAACTTTGGTTAATTGTATGAAAAAAAAATAAAAATAGAACAGACATTCACTATACAAACGTTAACGTATACGTAGACAGACGAAAGCACATTTTAAAAATTACCCACATGCGATAAGGTATCTAAAATCAATTATGTTGACGTAAAATTTGATACACATTAATTGACTGTTGATATACGAAAAAGTATGTCGTATACGCCGAACAAAATCGTACTTATAGACACAAAAAATATAATTTTTGTAAAAGTAACAATTAAAATAACGCATATGTTTCCGTAGTCGTCGTGTCTACTGTCTACTGACTTCCAAGGAAGAACTACTTATTAGTACGTCCTCTCTCTTATATACATATAGATACTTATAATAATAATAATAATAATAATAATATAATAATAATTTGATTACATGCTAATAGAAGAAATTAAAAAAAAATGTTTATTTTAGCTTATTTTCTAGTGTGACATTAATATAACTTGAATTTGAATTACCTGATACTACTGATAATACCCTAAAAAAATAATATAATAAATATTTGTTTTATTTTTTTATCAACCGTGACGCACAAAATAACTCACGATTGTACAATAACTCGTTTCACATATTATCGTATCACAATTATTTGTAGCTTACGTAAAATAATGTCATATATTTTGTCGGAGGGAGAGTATACATTTTTCCCCGGGGGGGGGGTATTAACCCACCACCGGTCATCCCATTGAAATAAACACTAGTGGTAGGGGTAGGAGCAAAAATATTGCTGGGGAAACGCGCAAGGAGTCGTCGCTGAGCGCAATTTTTTTTTAAAAAATTATTTACAAAATCTGGGAAAGAAATATTAATATTGAATATTTTTTAAAATTGTACTATTAATACATATTCAAATTTAAAGATCTTTAACTTTATAATTATTTGTACTAATCGAAACTAAAATTTAAAAGAAGTAGATAAACAGTTTTTTTCAATTGAAACCAAGGGAATGATGTGGGGGAGGTGATAATTATAAAAACTTACAAAGGGAAATGCAAGAGAGATTGGAATACACTGGTATACGTCAACAATTTCTACGAAAATGTCTGGTTTCTATAGGTGAACGATCGCTGGGAAGATGGGCCGTGTCGTTCGTGTTACTGCGACGAGACGTCGACGCGTGGCACTTGCATGAAAATCGAGTGCGCCGCCCCGCCCGTGAGCTCCGACTACGTGATCGTCGCTCGCACGAAATACGGACAGTGTTGCCCGAGTTACAAGAAGGAGAGTTGCATTTTCAACAGTACGGTCTACGCAATTGGCAGCGAGTGGTCTTCGTTCGACCCTTGCATAGCCATGAGCTGTAAACCCGACAGCAACGGCGAAGCGTTCTTGACCGAGTCGGTGAAGAGTTGCAACACTGAGTGTCCACTGGTAAATGCGTGCACATTTATATCCGCCGAAAACTATGATATCACGTTCATTGTTCGGCCTTTAAGTTTTTATTTTTTTATTTTTTTCCAAGGGATGGACTTACGTGCCGTCCACGACCGGTTGTTGCGGAACGTGCGTGCAAAAATACTGCGTGATGCAAAACAAAGTTTACGCGGACAACGACACGTGGACTTACGACAACTGCACATCGTTCATTTGCACAAAATCTGAGTTCAACGAGGTAAGCGGTACACTGCGGTGTTAACATGGACGTAAATAGAACTCAAAAAAACTTCAAGAACAACAAGAGTGTATTTCGAGAAGACTTGAAATGGCTCAAGGGTGCTCTTCTGAAATCTTGAGCCCCCATTCTTATTTACGTTCATCCTAATATTATTAATCGTTCTCACAAAATTATGGACAGTGCGTTGAACAAATGGTAAAAGATAATACCGTTTTTACAGTTCAACATTTTGCCGGTGTATCACACGTGCCCAAACATTGGTGATTGCCCGGAAAACCGGATCTATTACGACGGGTGTTGTGAACAGTGTAACAACACAGGGATCGGGTTGGAGAAAGAATCCCTTAGTCTATGCGCTCCCGAGAGTTTACCTTCCAACCAGACCGTTGGACTGGTAATAGAAGAAAGTCCGTTCCACGACACGTGCACGAACGCTGAGGCCATTGTTGGGTTCACGGAATGTCGAGGCCTTTGCGACTCGTATACGTACTTCAATAAAAGTAAGAGAGCTTATGTCCTCAATTTTGATGTCTCGAACACGACTTGAATCATGAATAATAAAAACGGGACACTATTATTAATGGACTCTTCGTCATTTTTTTTTTTTTCCCCCAGAAACGATAAAACACGATTCGAAATGTGAATGTTGCCAGCCGATCCGTTTTGATAAGCTTTCCGTGAACTTACAGTGCAAAGACGGCTATGAGTATAAAAAGACCATTTCGGTTCCGTCGGCTTGCTCGTGTACGGCGTGTGGTGGCGAAAGCTTTTCCATAAAAAAATCTAGAAAGCTTTAGACACGTTGTTGAAGAGCCGGAGAAGTGCGGTTTAAATTATATTTAATATAATAATATTTATTATTACATATATATAAATATATACTGTGGTAAAAAATGTACTTATTTTTACTATACAAATATTATTCACGTGAGCAAATTTTATTTATTTTTATATATTTTTGACGATCGTATTAATAAAGTTTCGTTATATTTTTACGTGCACGTGTATTGTGTTATATCTGACAATCTGACCAAACTTGTTCATTAAGCTTGTTCTCGTACGGGCTACGTCCAGGGAATTAACGTTAATAACAGGACATGAATACATGTTTCGCATTCAAATCGTGGCAATTTGGTATGAAAAATGTTTAGGGGAAATCAGCATTTGTCTCGATCGATAACAGTGCGGGTTTTTATTCGCACGTAAAAACCACGTGTAAAAAACGACGAACATGCAGTAAAGATCACCAGCGATTTTTTAGTCGCGCAACACCGCGGGGTGCACCGTGTTGTGTTGGTGGGCGATCAACTTCACATGCTCGTAACAAATTAAAGTATTTATATCTGTCATATCACTTTGAATGTAACAATATAACATTTGCAGCCCATTACCCGAGTTATAAATTTACTATCATTAAGTATGATGCGTGGAAATTGTTAACTTTTTCTTATCTCATACTTTAAATACGGTATTAAGAACGTTTTAATTAAGAGTGAAATGTTGATGGCATCATTTCGCCGGTCATTTTCATAAAGGGTTTTTTTATAAGTCATAAATTTCTTTCTCCATTTTAAATGACATAAAAAAAAAAAATCTTTTTTTCTTATGCGAGTAGAGATAATATACTTTTATAATAAGATAATATAAGTCTTAAAAATATAAAAAAATAAAAAAAAATTAAAAAAAGGTTCTTTGATATTTTAAAGACAAATTTGAAAGAGAAATTGTCCTGAGCTAATACAATATAAAATTAAACCTAATATTCTAGGTATTAACATCAAAATAAAAATTAAAAACTGACGGTTTTTTACGATTGAGAATCTACGGTTTGATGAGATACAGGGATTGATTAAAGATATTACTGTATTGGTGATTTAAACTTGAAACTAATGTAACGTTGCTCTCAGAAATCTATTTTGAGTAAAAGAGGTCGAGTAATATTTCTAAAAATAGTTAATAGATTAGAAAAATCAATCATCTTAATAAGGTAGGTTGAATTTTTAATATTCTAACATAAGCTATAAAATGTTAAAACTGTCGAAATTATCAAGTGTTTATAAATATTACAAACTGAATTAAAATAATTAGAAACTATGAATTATCTTTAATTAAATAACCTTATATAATTTAATGGAAATTTGTTTAAATATCCGACTACGTTAAAATTTCAATTACTAATGCTTTTAAATAATTTTTGGGACATTCCAGTAATTTTTTTTGACAGTGAAGTAAATCTTATAAAAAATTTTGTATCCAATTTTCAAGCCTTAAGTATGAAAATTGAAAATAATATGAATTTTTAATTAAAAAAAAAAGGAAGCGAATTTTCGTTTTTAAAGGTGGGTCAAAATTTAAAACTCATAAGTTTGTAAAAATTTATTTTGAGATTAAGCTAAATTTGTTTTCAAAATTCATTTGATTCAGTAATATGTACACCTGAGGAACTTTATACTACATTTTTAGGACTTTTTGTCAAACCAAACATATTTCATAGACATGTTCAAAAAAAAAGCTACTAACTAGAATCCATTTTCTATCTTTACTGTTTATTTGGTTAATTGAAACAATCCTTCTAGTCGAAATCGTGTATACTGATATAAAAAAAAAGAAAAAATTAAATAAGTAAAAAAATAAATAAATAAATAACACACATCATAATGATACGAATAAATTACTTTCCGTTACTTTTATAGTAATGTGTTACTTAATTCATAACAATTTTAACTGTGCGACAAAAATGTAATCTAAATTATTTGATATAACTCGTTACAAATCGATACCTACAATTCTACAAATTTTTCAACAGAAATATTTTGGTTCCGTATTAAATTTAAAAAATTTAGATAAAAGATTTTACTGATAAATTTACATACAATTTTATTTCAATTATAAATTTAAGTATTTTTACTTTTTTTTATTATTCAAAAGTAAAGTAGTTCCATTTAAGTAATGAGTGACGATTAAATAAACTTATTACTTTTTTAAAGTAACTAACCCTGCAACTGCATTTAACTGATAAACTGAAACATCATTATGTTGTTAGTATGTGTTACAACGGAAAAAAATGTATATCTAACTTTTTCTCATAACTTTATTTAATATTTGAAACGTACACACTTTTACACCGCCCGAGAGATTAAGGTATGATTATTTTACTCCTTATGTATAATGAGTCATACATATTTTTACCCTCCCCCCTCCTCTCCAAATGTGATTATGAGTAAGACAGTGAATATACGTCTCTCTCTCTTACGTCAACGTTTTTTATAGACCTTCTATAAATTATTTTATCCTCATCAATATAATGCATTTTTTTTAATTAACAAAATACATTTATAGATTTCCTGTGTACATTTATGCTCCTCAACAAAAATTATTTCAACACACCACTGTAGTGGGACCATAAGGATGAGTAGGCGAGATGACTGCCTAGTTCTGTGATAGTGTATGGATCTTATGTAACTCTTATATCATCTGGTAAAGGTCGTTGATGCTGTCGTAATTTATCGACTTTCGCTTTATCTTGCGTCGATACGAATTTTGATAAATATCATGCTGATATCGGATTTTAGATTTAACCCTTTCCCCCATATAAGATACTGTCAGTCAGATTTCACTCCCCTCTGGTCTCCTGACGTAATATTAGAATGTTT